GAGCTACGAGGCCACACCGATAGCACTGATCTTTTCACATTCGAATTTACCCATCCAACTTACAGAGGCATGTGGAATCCACCAGTTAGCATGTAAGNNNATAATTAGAGACGTCTGGTCGTAGAGATGCATGCACAGCACTAACCCGAAACATTTAACCTCGAACATAACGAAGCCTCTGAATGAGGAAATTGCTCAAATAAGTGTCTAAAGTGAAATTCTCAGGGAACCAGGGCACGGGAATTTAGTCGTACATATATCAGCACTAAGTCCATTGGCCATTTTAAATGATCGGCCATTTCGTTAATGATCAGTTTTTACTTTGGGCATATGGTTTGCTGTGTAAGGTTACTTCAATCAGTCTTTTGCGGGAGTTAAAGGGTACGAGCTCTCAAATGGTGGCAAAAATTAGGTGTCAGTTTCAGCAAAATTTGCCGTAAGTGGAAGGATGAAGACTGTAAGGACTGTATGAGGAGATTAATAAATCATACGAGATCGGTTCAAACTGGGAACCTAAAATTAGTCACCCGAAGATAGGTGAACATGTTTTATACGAACCGGACCAGACAATCACCGATGCGATAGATCGATCGTTTATTGGGCGCTTCAGACGTGGAAGTTCCGTCCCAGAGGTGCGTGGCCCGGTGATTAGGGCATCAGTCTTGAATAGATTAGGGACTTCGAAAACAAAACCTCCACTTTATGAGTTGGGCTGTTTAGTGACAGACTCAGATCAATGTTATTTATATTAACCTGTTACCCTGAATAAGCAGCCAAGAAGCACAAAGTCGTGGAAAGTAAGACAACGCACGAAACTTCCATAAAGTAATATGGATGATAAAACTGCAGTCGAGAGGACATTTTGTGGAGAACATCAGTTTCTTTGACACCACTGACCTTCGTCTTTCCTCATAAAAAAACGGTGAGCCAAGGCTTCTTCTGGACGAATTCTATGCCGCGGATCGTACACCAGCATGCGCTGCACCAGATCGATGAATTTATCGTAGTCTTCTGGAGCATGGCCTGGTTCGTCCTTTCGTCGACCGTGCGGACCTCCGGTGTCTGCACCAACAACTATTCGCAACGGTCGTGCTTCCACGCCGGCAAAGTTACACTGAAGATGAACAAGGTGGGGGGGATAAATATGAATAACAGACGATTGATTAATAGGTATGACGCAATGTGTATCAGTGTCCCTGGTCAACGGGAAACGTATTCTCATATAGGAATGAAACCGTCAGCGGAAAACAGAAATCAAATAGTACCGGTACTGTCTCCCAAGGGGATGGATTGTGGTTGGTCACTCATCCCTTGCACCTCGCGAAATACTCCTATACAACCAAGCTTCGCAAGTAGTCTCTGTTGAGGAAGCCCTGCTCATTGCCTTCTCGTGGCGGAGGTGTTTTACCACCAAAGTGAGAGAACGAAAAGCCAATATCCGGGGCTATAATCGGGTCGGTGAACCAATGGCAGTTTTCCTAGGGGAGTTGGATGAAAACCCTGATTCCAAACCAATCATGAAGAGGCGTACGAACCACACCCACACCTTTTCGGTTGTGGCAGTGATCACCGGCTCAATCGGGCATTGAGGTGTATTGGGCACTTCGGATGTTTGACCCCACACAAAGGTCGTATGATCCAACGAAATGGTCACCGGCTTCCAATGGATCGCGGTTTTCCCATACAGCTCTGCTGCCATGGAGTCAGGCCTTGGCTAGCTGAAGTCTCGGGCTGTGAACTCCCTAAGAAAATTAATCTGCCTTGGCTTGGGCGACCTGGCGGTATTCCTCCCACAAGCAAATCATGGAACGTTCTTCTCTTCCTAAAGATTAGTGTATTATTGTGAATGTTATAGTGTTAATAACACAGCGATGTCGGTAGAGAATTATTATTATTATTTGCACTATAACATTCACCACAAAACAACACATGGCGCATCGATTTTTCGATACACTCCTAACATAATTTGGTCACGATGTGTAATAACACATCGTGTATTAAGATTTGTTTCGAACAATGTGAATTCCAACGTGTGAAACACGCATAAAATACGTGTTCCCCATGAGAGTTGCTTTGCTAATCCTCAAAAATAACACCCATCGGGTGAGAGGTATGGATCTACAAATAAACCAAGATAGATTACCGACAAATTAGTGCATGCATAAGGGCACGGAAAGCTACGCACGAATGGAGACACAACAATGAACGAGTGTTTGTTTTAGAGATTGTAATATATGGCCGAGCGCATGAACGCACGCAACTTCGAAGAACCCATTGTTTACCATATCAATAAGGCTTAAAAACTCCAGTGACCACGTCTGAATGAGTGAAAACGCAACAGATCCGGTAGACTAAAGTAATATAAATCACAATTCATAGGACAATGTGACAACCAATCGATATTTGTCAATCATTTTTTAAAAAGAATGCTGCAGACCGAAATCAAGAAATATTCGTAATCGGTATGAAAGTCAATGGAAGCGACAGGTACTTCTCCCTGTACGGCTAAATTGAATAATGGAGGTTATCGGATGAGAGATGAATGACCTATGTGTTCCATCGAATTGGAAAAAATTCATATAAGGTGTACGGGCTTCATTAGGAGGAGAGATTGGGGTGCTCTCTCGGGATGTCGAATATGAGTCAAACGAAACCGGTTATCGAGATATGGCCGATGTGCTACGCAAACTACTCACGTTAGACATGGCCTTGAAGCCAAGTGTCAACTAACTTGTGTCGTTACTTCAAAGCATAGACCGATACGTGCCCACAAAACAACAAACCGGATCACACATGGTTTGTGACGACATTGAAGTATATGCGGTATAAAGCAGGACTACTTTCTAATGCTCCAGAAAATCCATCAATAAGATGAGAACATTCAATTTTTGAAACTATTTATCCAATGAATTTCAGGGGGGTTATCCGATTAGATGTAACGCACCAAGTGGTTCCGAGACTATTTGAATGCCTATCCCTAGAAGAAATGACGAATGCTATTTAGAGTTTAATATGAAGTAATATCAGCTGGAGCTTATCGTATTTCACGGCTGGCTGTATTCGCCACGAGGTACTCGCTCCGTTAAGCTGACCCTTTCGGAGAAAACAAAAAGACCGGGTTGAATACAATCGCATATTCCTGATCATAAACTACTGAGCAGAACCAAATAGTTAAGTATGGAAGAGATAAGCTGAACTTGCGTAAAGTTGTCCCGAACTATTATGCATGCAAGGCGCTAGAAAACCCGCGAAAGTGAAAAATTCATTTGTGGGCATAAATGAAAAACCTGTTTGCTTTTTTAAACCCAGACGCGTTTGTTTGGAACTTACACTTGAGAAATAAAATCAATGAAAAGGCATTTTACCTGGAAGGGCTTCTTGTGATCTCAAGCGATGACGTTACAATTACAGGCTGCGTGCAGTGCATTTTCCGTGTTCGGACTCCATAGTACGGAAGGATCGCAGTAAGAATCTGACCGACCATAACCATAACAGGAAGCCAATAGTGCATCACGCAAGCTCCATGTTCAAATAGCCGCAGACGATTTCCCTCTCTGTTGTTAATCTATATCCCATAGTCCCTGTAAAACCCTATCACTGATTACACGGTTACCAAAAAAGGCGATGTAATGGTAAACGTTTCGATCTTTAAGAGATTGAAAGCAGCGTTTTCACAAAGTTATTTATTCTTCACTCATGACTTTTCAGCCTTAGTATCAATTTGTTTTTCGATCAGCACGCAGGAGCGTCAACAAATAGACTAGTTTTATCCAATCAAAAAAGAAGTTCTCAAAGGGTCGACTGATCGAGTAAGAGGAACAACCCAGAGGAGGAACGCTGACAAATGCTGCACAGAGCACACGTCAGAACAAGCCTTGATTGAAACCTGAGTCTAGTAGCAGTTCGACCTCTGAGGCTACGGGGCAAGCTCCAAAAAAGTTTTACTATGAATGTTACGCAGCTGAATGCTTTGCTAAGCCTTTGAATCTCCGGTACGCTTTAGTAATGGGCTGGCACTCACAGGCGGCTTCGATCCATCAAGAAGCGCTTCGCGTAATATCAAGAAAATATGCTGCATGTGTCCAGAGAGACCACCATTAAATGCCTCTGATATCAAAATCTGGCATTTCGAACTAGTTCTCTGTTGAATTGTTCTGATGGACACTGTCTAACATTCACTAAAAGCCCACCCTCTAACCGAGACTTACAATATTGTAATTTGGTAATGAAACTTTCAAACGAACCCAAAACATAGCATCGCTTTGGTTCATAATGTGGCTGAATGTAGCATGTAATTTCTTAAAAAGAAAGGATAGTTTAGAGAGTGAGTGACTGGACAGAGATTTGAATTTTCGGGTAGAAAGCACGAAGAGAGTCCGATTTTAATAGAATACGCGTAAGATTACCGAGGTCACACACTGTTAGGCCGTTAGGGCTTAGTGAGGATACTTTCCATCAATAACCTTTGATTCCCACAAGGTGGCAATGAAATTACCAAATGAAATTTCGGGAACTAAACAACATGGGAGAAAATTAGGGTAGAATCAAGCAAAGCCAGCGATGTGCATTCAAAACACAAAACATGGAAGGCGAGTAGCGAAGGAAAACAAGCGAGTTTCGGTTTATTCTTAAGCTATTTCAGTTACCGATAAAATGATGAACAGAATTCTCGTCAACCAACTACGATTTCGGTAAGCAAACTGTTGACAACAATTACACCGTTATGTACAAACCACAGAGCACAACGATTTCATTATGGTTGATGATAAAATGTATCTGCCTGCTGTATATAACAGACGAAAATCATTGATATAATCTAGTCAGAGAAGACAAAAACGCTAGGATAATCAAATCCGCATGCAATGAAGGGATCGACCACGCGACTCGAGAAACTCGTGAAAATGTTTCATATTATAGTCTGGGCAGAAAATGCCAGCAGAGGTTCAATTGAGGTTCAATTTTTGGTAATTGAAGTGCCAGTCGATGTAAACTATCTCACTCCCTTTGTTGAAATAACTGATCCGTTATTTCCAGATGAAAATGAGATTAGAGGTGGATAAGTGAGGGGTAAACGGAGAGTTTAGGCATGGGAAACAGTGAACAAATACCTCCATATGGAGTGGCGAACCACATAAGGCCCCGATAGATTAGGCGTGATATTGAACCGGACGTCCGCAGAGAATGAACATAAGTGTGCCAGTTGCATGCTTACCTCATAGACACCATCATTTTTTTTCCAGATGCGTTTGGGTCGATAACAGATGTGGCCGTTAGAAGACCATAAAACACCACTGATTCCCGATTCCATTGACGACTGTTGCGACAACTGTGACTGTGTATGATCCGTTGAGGATACCGTATTTGCACCGACAGAAGCCGTGGAGGAACTGCTCGGTCCTAAGGGTATCGCATCAAAAAAGGTAGCCAATTTCGGACTGGATTCGATCATGTGGACTGGGGGGAAACCGAGAACTTCGATGATTTGCAATACCTGTTCAAGCTAGAGTAGAGGGAGGGTAGATGCAAAAAGAACCTTCACTGATTGGAGACGAGTCATAAAGAAATCTCAAAAGAAAAAATCGGATCAGACAGTTATCAGACAAGTTGATATTCACAGGGGAACCGCGAAAGAGAACACTCATTCGTTTCAAAAAGTAGCGGTGTAACGGAAACGAAGAGAATGTCAGACAAGCACGATGAGGAACATTTTTGTATTTTTTTTTATTTATAAACCCGTCGCTGCTGCGTCTCGTGGGTCTTGGTTGCTGCTAACCAGCTACCCAAATAGTAAACAACAAAAGCATCATTAGGATGGTGGTGATATTGAAGTGGTGCCCATCGCGGAAGCACAGTCAAGAATAACGATACCTCGGAAATCAAGTGCCGAAGAAACTAGAGAAACCCATGGTAGCAACAAGTAATATTTCGAAAAAACGACCACCTATTTCTTGAATAAATGACAGGAAGGAATGTCCTAAGCGTAACACTAGTTCAACTGAACTTTCAGTTTAAACGCGGGTTGGTGTCAAAATTCTTCATCTCCCCTTTCATGTAAATGTGAGTGTTCGGTATTACAACGACATGTGAAGTGATTCACACGCAAAATGCTAGAGATTGCGTTTCGGAGTGCACTACAGCAACCAATAAGCCAACCGGTGGTAAACAACTCTCGGCAATTTATGTGATTAATGGAGAATTTGATTCAATTTCAAAGTGGAAATTTGTCGTGCGCATGGCCAATGAAGCTAGGAAGTGCTGGACAGCTGTTTCGACCTGATTGGGTTTTATCAGCAAATTGAACATTCTCGTCTCAAACAAATATGGAGTTAGAACGTAAAACAAACAGCCAAGGTGAATCATTCTCGAACTGAGTATAAGCTTTAGTCCTAGAATTTCTGACTTTGGTTGTAGGCCAATTAATTTGTGAGAACGGGTTGTGTTAGTTACGTTCTATAGAGATATTCAGATTCGTTAAATGAAGTTGTGAAAATGAACTCTCCTTCAAACAATCGAATGCAGTGAACAGTTCGGGATTTGGTGTACAGACTATCAAAACTGGTAAGCTAAACACTAACACAGCGATAAACAACACAAGATTCCAATGGGATTGACACGTGATTCAGTTAGGCAGTGGGGAGGTCTCAACAACCAAATGGGTAGATAAAGAGATTGCACCAGGATCTTTGAACTATACACTAAGAGCCCTATATAACAATTAGGTCACTATTTTTTTATTTATTTATATTTATAAATGCTACGGAATCCAACCACTAAGATCAGGGATCCCAATTTGAGACTTTAATTTTAACAAGAACCCGATCACGAAGAAAGTGCGAGGCAAAATAAGGACTTGTCTACTTGAACTGATCACCATCATTTTCACAGACTGAGAAGACAGCTTGAGCCCAAACCCAACCTGAGGGATCAGGTGATCGAGCTGCCTGCCTTCTACCCTTCAACCTTGCGGGCGTGACCAGATCTCAGTTTAACAAAACCATTGTGTAGCTCGTTGAATTACAGAAATGCGCAAGCATTAACAGCAGATCAAGGTGCTGTCTCTCGAGATGGATGGACCGATTGTCAATTTGATTGAGTATAAGTATGGCTTTTAACGGCATTCTGTGTCCAATCTTAGTGATGACCCTTTATCCACACGTCAACTCTGGATGGAGACTCGAACGAAAATACCATAATGAACATAACGTGACGAATTTTAAGACGTACCTCATTTGAACCAGAAAACAGTGGCTCACCGGTATGCATTTCCACCAGAATGCAACCCAGTGACCACATGTCAATTCCCAGATCGTAGTCCAAGTTAAGAAGGACCTCGGGCGACCTGAAACAAGAGGGAACGAGAAAATTTTGATTCATCTGTATGCATACCCAACGACTGAAAAAGCAAGCAGCACTGTTGAGAAACAACATCCGATAACTGAATTAAACAGTCAAAACACGAGCAGTGAATTGCACACTCACCGATAAAAACGTGATTGGATGTACTGGTAGACCTTTTCGCTCACGTGGCAGGAACTACCGAAATCGATCACTTTGATAGCGGATCGTTTGGGATTGACAAGGAGAATATTCTCCGGCTTTAGGTCGCAGTGAATTACTTGCACATCTGGACGGGATAGAAAGACAAGCGCCGCACACAATTGTTGTGCGAATTTTCGTGTCAAATTAAGTGACACCCCACGATAGTTTGTATTCCCAAGGAGATCGTAAAGGTTGTAGGAGAGTAGCTCGAACACCAAACACAAGTGACCATGATGACTGAAGTGACCTTTCAGGTTGACTGGGAGAGGAAGAGAAGAAAGATGAAAGTAAATAACAGCAAATTTTGTAATTAAATTATGCTGGAAGACATAAAACGAACGTACGAATGGGTTCTAGAAAATCTTCAAACTGATGGTAGTATGCCGTGAGAAAATTGAAAGCGTGACCCATGGTTTGATCGCATAATGGTTCCGAAGAACTACTCTTTTCGCACAATGAATGTCACTGTCGTCCGCAACTGCCATAACCCAACAGCGGTAGGTCATTGCACTTGTGTGGGGCTCATTCGCTTGTCACACTAAAATGTAGTGAAATAGATGAACGGTTCAAAGGGAGTTCACCATTACGTCGTGTAACGTTGTGTTTTGTTCCAGCTCACACGGTAAACCTGGTCAGTTTTAAGAACCACTAGCATTCAAAAAAAGCTTGCATATCACTGATTTCCATAGCGGACCATCTTCATAAAAGGTTCCAAAAAATGACACCTGAAATATTCAAACCTAGATGTCCAGATCTACAAATTCAGACTAGTTATCTAAAAAATTTTCGTCTCCGTACAAATAGAAGGATACGACTCTGTTTTCTTTCCTCCTTCGCCAGGTTATGGAACACAGACAATCCCTTCGCAGACCAACAAATTCGATCTTCCTCGATCTGAAATCGACTTTATAGTTGGTGCACCGCTCTATACTCTGGCGCTACCTTTCTCTGAAGGTTGAGCTCGAGAAGTTTATTTCAGCTTTATAATCTCCAAATACTAAAAGCCAAAGAACAGTACGGGCTTACGACACGTCTTCGCCCGATTTCATTACAGAATATGGTGTTCCTCAGGGTTGCCCTCGCTCTTTGCTTTTTTTTAAGTTCACCATAGATCTAATTCTTGACACAACTCCATCGTCGTGCGAGGATAACGATTTGCTCCCATATAGCACTGTCTGATCTGGAGTATGCAGACGATATTATATTGCTGAATGAAGTCGTAAGCTTTTCTGTATAGTTTGAATGCTAGTGTAGCCATGTTCGATATGCGTTTTGCACCTTAAAAATGTAAAATGTCGCTACAAGATTGGGTTAGCCCAGCACCCAGTCTCGCTCAAACTGGGAAGTAGTAGAACTAAACAATATTTGCTATTTGGGCAGTTATGTCTCACTTGGCGGACGCGTCACAGATGAAGTATCGAAGCGAATACAGGTTGGCATTTACCAACTTGAAACATCTGTGGCGCAGTCGCGACATCCGGCTCTGTGAAGAGTCGAGTACAAGTTGCAGCATATGAACCAGTCCTGCTCTACGATGCAAACTTGGCCATTACGAAAACAGGATAAAAATAGCCTGTCGGTGTTCGAACACGGCTATCTATGCCGCATTGCATGAGTCTGGTGGGGAAACCGGACGAGCAGTGCTGAGGTTAGGCGCAGAGTTCTAGATAATCGCGGTCGTTCACTGAAGCAAATGGTCGACCTCCATAAATAACGGTGGTTGATACATGTATTGCGCATGTCACGGAGTAGGTCGCCACGGCGAGCGATGTTTGCGGAGGCAGGGAGTGGATGGGAAAAGTTAGAGCGGCTTAGTGTCGCAAACAGTGGCGCTCGTGCATCTACTCATTATTCTTGCGACCGAAGTTTACATGAATTCTCTATCTTCCCTTTCAATTTCATCCAACATGTCAATCTTCATCCCAGTGGGCAATCAAAGGACAGCAACCAAAACCGCATGAAAAGGCATGGCTATTTGGGTAAAAACGGAAACGAACTTCCCCCGGTAGAACGATGCAAGTGCAAACAATGAAAGATGATTGGTGCTAATGCGTAACATGTCTGAGTGTTTCACAAGTAGGAAAACTGCACTATCTACGTTTGAAGGCATTTCTCATTCGTCATGCTTGCATGCATGATATGAATAAAAATCAACTTTGTACTTTCGAACACCTTAGTGGACGTTATATTTCCAACTCCCACAAGGTGAATGTTACCAAACGATGTAGAGGACGTGGTGCGCAAGAAAATCGAGTAAACCTGTGTAACAGTTTCTTCCGAAAGCCTCAGTATGTTTCAGGGTGGGTGTCTTAGGTTATGACTGGGCACCCTTATTCCGCATCTCGTGAAATGCTCCTTTGCGACCAAATGTCTCAAATAGCGTCTGCGGAGAAAACCCTACTTACTTTTCTCACGCACATAAAGTGTTTCCCTACCAAAGTGAGAAAACGAGAAGGTAATATCAGAAGCTAGAACCGGATCCGTGAAATACTTGCAGCTAATCTTGGAGAGTTCACTGAACACCCTGACTATAAAACAATCAAGAAGAGTAGTACGAAACACACCAACACCTTGCCGGTTGTGACAGCGGTTTCCGGTTCGACGTTTGACCTCGTCCAAAGAGCGGATGATTCGATGAACTGGGGGCATCGACCAACAATGGATTTTGGTCATCAAACACCACCATTCTGCCCTGCGGACCAGGATCTGGCCAGTCCAAGTTAAGGTTGCACGTCACCAAGAAAATGTACCTGTTTTGGCCTAGACAACCCCACAGTATGTGTAAATCATGACCCATTTTCTTCATCCTAGAGATTGTTGCACCGTGACATTTGGCACAAAGTCGAGAAGCCAAGGGGTTGAAATATAATAGCACCAACGTCATAAAAGCATACCCATGAGGAAGATTAGAGACAAAAGGAAGAAACGCAACCCTAATCATCAGTGTATTTTGAGATCAACTGGAGTGAAAAAGAATTACAAACAAAAACCAAGTTTCCGCTATTTGAGTGCGGGGAACGTATAACAGAGGAACTTCTGTGCCGCACCCCAAAAAGAAGAGTCGTCATGAACAGGAACACTATTTAAGGAATAAGCCCATAACACAGTTGTATAAATCGACAAAAGTCAAACCTAAATACCGTCGCTACTGGACTCGGAAATGAAGATCGCCCCCGAGATACATGAATTCGAAATGTATAAGGCATCTGGGTAGTCGGGATCGAATACATCCACTTTCAACAATCGACGCTCAGTGTTGATCTTGAATTGGATGAAATTCAGCTACAAAAAATGGTTACGCTGAGGGTGAATGGCAAAAACAGCCTATTTTATTGGGTTAGAACAGGACAGATCTTCTTACGAAAACCACAAAGCTTGATAAATATTGTCTCAAAACTTCCAACGCGTATTATAATACGTCGATTTTCTGTTGCATGTGAACGGTACGCGCGTGAGAATCAAGTTGATATCACTGCTGCTCGAGGATGCCCCGACCATATTTCCACCCTTCATCAAACTCTGGAACGAGGACATTCTTTTCGAAGACCCGTAAATTTTAACTACCCTGATCTCAAGCTCAGTCGATTGCACCGACACTTCTTGTGAAGGGAGTAGGGGAGAATTTTAGTTAGAGTAAATGAGGCCGCATTCAAACCTACGGAGCATTTCGTGAGTTTAATACGGAAATCAAAGTTCGACAGGGCAGTCGCTTCACCATGTTTTTCTATTTCCAAATAGGTATTATTTGGGGGTGTTCGTGCGAGGGTTGTTGTTTCCCTGTTTTCCTGGTAGGGATTCGGCTGGGACCGAGAAACAAAAAATAGCACACTGCAAATCAGATGAATCACACAGAACACAGAAACAGGGCTGACATTGGAAAGCCGCTGATTTGTTCTGGTATATGCCTGGGGTTCCTTTTGTTGGTCTTGGATCCACCAGCTCGCTCGGATGGGGCATGCTCCTCCGCATTTTCAAAATTGTCTGACAATTGATACATTTGTTCTCCGACCCGAGGAGCTGCACTGGGAGAACTTTATAAAATGCAGTTGATCATAACGACCCAGATGACGCAGTATCTCTGAATGAAGAACCGAACAAGGTATTAGCAGTTCGCATGTGAGATACAGATCAAACAAAATTTAAGGTGACAGATCGGAGGCCCAATGTTTATCAACTTGAGACACCGTTAGTACTGCTACGACATTCCGTCATCCGTGAAGGGTTGAGTTCATTCTTCAAGTCTCTCAAGAGTGCTGATATCTGCTGCAGAATTATGGCCGTTACAGGAGGGCGACTAGGGCGTATAGCAGAATTTCGAAGGGGCACTAAACAAACAACATCGGGTTTTACCGAAGTGGTG